TGCCATCGCAAATCTCAAAAATGAAAGCAAAAAGCGATCATGCATTGCCACGTGCATATTAATATGCAGCTCCCTGATGAACGCATTTTTTTATACAGTATAATTACCCAAAGATATAACTGCGCGAGACAGTATTGAAATATATATTTTCCTTTCCTGCTGTGTGAGCTACTGAAACAAGCCAATCAGAGCTCAATATTATAATTCATGATCCTTCCAAATAAGGTAAAAACAGACCATTTCATTCTAGGGACAAATTCTAGGGTTGTAAATGGACATGTAAAACCATTTCTGGAGATTTTTTGCCCTTACCTAAGCCACATACCTTATATGTAGATATCAGAAAAATGATTTAAAATATTGTATCAATGCATTCTATGGCACCTTTAAGTTGCTCAAGCAATTGGCAAAACATTTAAACTACTTTTCTTATGTTATCACAAACTTACCATTGACAGAAATAGTCAGCTTTACTGCCTTTTCTTTTGCATTTAAATCTTTATTACAAGCAATCCTGCGGTTCATAAAGAACTTTTTCTTACCTCCACGAGTGCCATCTTTGCCTTCTTTATCTAGAAGTGCTCTTTCCCTTTAAACCTAGCCAAAAAGCCATACGTGTTGACTGTGAAACACAGTAGACTTTAATAATATGCATTTATGGTGTAATTACTAAATTTTTGTGTCCATCCATGTTCATATTTACTGCAAACAATCCGCTGTTACTTTAATTCAGCGCTTGCACCGCTCCTGAACGCACTGCCGGACCACAACCGTGTGCAGTGAACGCTTTAATCTGTTAATATGAACGCGGAAAAAATACGCACCGCAAACGGAGTAATGTGAACCTGGCATTATGTGTGCGCGCTGCAAGTGTGCATGAGCGTACGGTCTCCAGGAGAGCGGGAGAGCGCTGAATGGTTAACACTGGCAAGAATTAAAAAGAAATGCAATTTATAAACTTTAGTGACGATGTGACACTGCCTCGATTGTGCAAGTGACAATTCCTGTGTCAACTGTGCAGCTCGCTTATAGACAGACGCGATGTGGTGATTTGAAGCCATTTGCGTATATTGAGAGAGAAAGAGGGCGAGCCTCTTGAGGTTTGTGAAATTATGTCTCACACAAGGTTTTCAAATTACTTTAAAAGTTAAATGAAAAAATATACTAGACAGACGCGATGTGGTGATTTGAAGCCATTTGCGTATATTGAGAGAGAAAGAGGGCGAGCGCGTGCAGTGATTCACTCACTCGGTTTGTGAAATTATGTCTCACACAAGGTTTTCAAATTACTTTAAAAGTTAAATGAAAAAATATATTTTATATAGCAGCATTATAATTATTTAGCAGCATTATAATTATTTCACCCGTGCTGAACAGAGACTGAGACGGTGCCGCTGCATGTCATGCCAAACCACTCACGTCAGGCAGCGTCATCAGCTTGAGATCGGCCTTTAAGAGACCGCCGATCAATCATCCCAACGTGTTATCGGCCGATAGTGATCGGTAGCCGATCAATCGGAGCACCCCTAATGTTGGTAAACAAACAGTTAACTGTAGCCATCGACTTATATTGTATTTTTCCCCATTCTATAGAAGTCAATGGCTATCGAAATCCCATTTAATGCTACAACAATTACGTCATTGTACCATCCCGGTCATGACTCATGACTAACACAATTTGTTGATAAAAGCACAATGATATGATTTGATTTCCAAACAAGGTCAATGTGCAGTTGAGACATCAGCAACATCCCCAGAAAATCCAGTTAAAACAAGCAGAACCAACCGTGTTCAAGGGTTAACGCGAGTTAACATCAAGAGGAAAACCAGCTACGCCAGATGAATATCTAGCAGTAGCCTGCAGACAAAGTTTAATTAACAAACGTTTGTTGACAAAGCGGGAGGAATTTGTTGCTTTCACTGAGGTTTCATGTGACAAAAAAGCCTTTTTTCTCTCCTGTAACTCAGTGAAGATAAAATGACAGCTACCTGCAAAAGAGAGTCTAAAAATAAACTTTTCTTTAAGAACATTAGAGAAACTCAAAATAAAGACAACGAAAAATGAAATTCAGAGATCTGTGATCTTCTACTGTCATACAAGTTTCATTAATAGTGTTTGTTTTACTCGAATAATCATTGAACTCTTGAACAGTAAAATGTATGTATATTTACATAATTTTTTTAAATGTCAGATCAACATTGTAATGCTTAAGCGAATGTATGCATTACAACAAGTGTACAGTAAAATTTGTATAACTTCATTTTGAGATCAATATTTGCCCAATACATGAGGTATATCCTCTAAAATAGTAATGCAATAAGAAAAAATGTATGCTTTTAGAGTTAAACAAAAATTGTAATCGACAGTTAAATAAAATAGTACCTAAAACAACTACAATTTAGCATCAACAAACAGCCAATATAAATGAATTGTCAGTGCCCATTTAAAAGCCATTCTGCATAGAAAGTTTTTAGAAGATTCAAAGGAACTCAACTATTACAAACTATTTACAAGGTAACCTTTGAAAGCATCAATGCACATGCTAATGAAAGCACAATTATAGAGTTATTTATAGTCACAGAGAGTTCCCACGCTGTTCAGAAAGGAAGTCTTGCACTTAATTTCACCTCTCAGTATACATTTATCTCCTCTTAGAGAGTAAATGCACTAAAATGGTTGGTCTAACATACAAACGATAAGATATCAGGGCAGATCCAAAAAAGACAACAGCACACATGCAATATATTGCATAAGAGTTTCTCTCAATGCTTGGAAAAAAGATCTATGGGGAATTGTAAAATGTATGACCGCTGACATAACAGCTAAAGAACTAAACGGACAGTAAATTAGTCTAATCCAGACATTACAGATGACAAAACGCTTGACCACTGGGAGAAAACCACTCCACCACAAACTCCAAACAAACCATAAAGCAGAGTTTTAACCAGCTTCCCACATCCAACAGTCATTTACTGTCAGAGAAATGTGTCGGTCACAACATTTGAACAAACGAAACGAACAAGAAATGTTAACTGACATGAAACATGGCCTGCAGTCATCCGACAGCCTTGTGCTGGAAACATCCAGCAGTTCACAACACAAATAACACACCAAAACCAAACGACTTGCTTTTCCAAGAAAAATAGATCCAGAGGTCACTCGGACCACTAGTATTTAGGCTATAGGTTTGCCAGTGGAGAAAATGCATGCACTTCGGTCTAAAAAATTAAAACTTTAGTGCAGAGCAGAGGAGTTTCTCCAATGTTACTCTACACCTGAAATGACAAGTAGTAGCCTAACTGATATTTAGGCAGAAACTATGAGAACACTTAAAAACAAGGCTGCTCTCCAATAAGAGGACACAGGAGTGAAAAGACCCTTGACCGCCTTAAAATTCGCCTCAAGCGTGCATGCTTCGTCAGGCTCACCTTGAATTTCTATGTATACATCCTGCATAAATTGAATTCTACAAACACAACACTGCATCCAATTTTAATCAGAACGGGCTCAAACAGTAAACAGCCATCCCTCATGAACCTCCACAAGAGACACTTGACATGCTGCTGTCACGGATCACGTTTACATGCACATTTTGTGATGGTTCGGTTAAACTTCTAATAAAGCTGTAACCATGCAACCAGCGTAAAATCTATAAGCCAAGAGAAACCTCTTCTGGAAATATTAAAAATGTTCACTCGGTAATGATCTCATTAACATCCGTTAGAGTAACACAAAAGAACGCAACAAATTCGCCTCAAGCGTGCATGCTTCGTCAGGCTCACCTTGAATTTCTATGAATACATCCTGCATAAATTGAATTCTACAAACACAACACTGCATCCAATTTTAATCAGAACGGGCTCAAACAGTAAACAGCCATCCCTCATGAACCTCCACAAGAGACACGTTTACATGCACATTTTGTGATGGTTCGGTTAAACTTCTAATAAAGCTGTAACCATGCAACCAGCGTAAAATCTATAAGCCAAGAGAAACCTCTTCTGGAAATATTAAAAATGTTCACTCGGTAATGATCTCATTAACATCCGTTAGAGTAACACAAAAGAACGCAACGAATTGAAAATGCTGTTTTCTTTTAACGCGTGTAAAATGCAAAGTGTTGTTCACATGACCCAAAGTTCTGATTAAAATATGCAAGTGTGTCTTATTTTGATTCAAGAAACAAGAATATTGGCTTATTCAAGATATTCAAGGCAATCAAGTTAGTGGTTACATGACACTTATATAACTTAAATGGCTAAGTCATGGTAATGCAATGTTTGATTTTAAAATGGGTTTCAAAGGATGGATTTTGAGATTTGAAGTTTTCAATTGATATATCATTTCTGAAGTGTGATCGAGAAAAAGGCAACAAAGACGACTTTTTTTGACAAAGGTCAGAACTCCTGTTATGATGTAGATTTTTGAGGTGCACTCTTGTCACAAATTAATCTATTACTTTTCCTACATCATTTTTAACAAAAACATTGGTCAAATATATATTTAGGAGTCTTAGACCTTTCCAACGATATATGGTTTAGGATTTAATTGTAATATAGTGAAGTAAACTTAGGCGTCCCACAGAGGGGACGGTGACAGTTAAAGGGTTAAATATGTTGTGATACTCCCAGGTTTCCCGGCAATTCCCGCCCTCTGGTTGCCGTGTGCCGCCACTGCAGGGAGAAAATCCAACAAAATGTCGGCGCCTCCGCGGTCACATGACTCCTTTTGTGTTTTGCTGCACGATTCGGGTCGTAACGGCTTGACAAACCCCGACTTTCACACCACAAACAGCCATCAATTAAATCCAACTGTATATACCAGACATTAAATTCGGTGCACGCTGCAAAACGGGTCCAAAACACCGTGTAAAACACTTCACGCACAGTCGGCCATTTTGTTGCATCCAAACCTGCGCAGATTGACAGAAAGAAAAAAAAACAAACAAACAAAAAATGAGTATCGCACAAAGTCGGCGGTTGCATGGTAAAACTCGTACCGATTCCTCGTCCTTCTCCATGCCGGTGGGCATCTGCGGCACGGCGCGGTTGATGGACGCGTACTCGTGCAGGTCTGGCAGATCCTCGCAGCGGAAAACGGGCAGCGGTTTGAGAGCGTCCAGCGCCCGCGCCCTGAACGACAGTTTACTCATTTTACTCTATAAATCTGTCCGATCCCCTCACAATCACCCATAAAACCGCCACAGATCTCATGGAGGAGGGTGGATGGAGTTGGAGAATGAGAAAAAATAATGGAATAGAAGAGCTCCAGCGAGGAGAAGGAGAGGCGGGTGTGTGTGTGTGTTTTCTCTCGCTGCCTCAGTGCGCCATTCACAACATGGCGGACATTAAAACCTCCAGTCCTCACAGTCAGCGACTGCCTCACACTTCCCTCCCCCCTCACACACTCACGTGAACGCGCTCCTCAGCCATTCCAGCACGCGAGCGCGGTCACGAAACATGCGCGCGCACACATGCCTACATAAACATCACTTTCCCGCCATCCGTTTCTATCGCTGCAAAACCTTAATACATTGTTATATCGTACCTGCACAATATATCATATCAACATTAATGTGAACAACGCACAAGATATCACAGCAGTTTATCTCGAAGCCATTTTAAATGTGCTAATCAGACACTGGGTGTAGGATTTAAAGTTGACTGATTTTATTTTTGTTGCGCCAAAATCACTAAATATTATTTACACAAAAATAACCTGAGATAATGAATACAAAAATCTGACAGCTACAGGCCACTTTTGTGTCAGAAAAATAGACTAATAACATTAATTACACAAAACATTTTGCCACACATTATAAATATTTATGAATACCTTTTCTACATTTTAGTGGCATTGTGTTATCTTGGCTAAAACTCTGGCTACCGTAATATACAGACTCATGTGTTAGAAGACGGCGCCCTCTTTTGGTCAAATCCAGATACACCAATGAAATGCATTTGACTTGTGCACTACAAACACGGCACAAAAAGATCATTCACAGCTTATGAAGTTGCCCAGCCCAAAAACATAACACACTAAATTACACAAAATAAGTAGTTAAGCAAAGCAACTGTTTTCAGGTTGAACAATAGATTACATTTTACAATAAATAGTTTTCACACACACCGGTACAAAATGCAGCACAATTTAGAAAGCATTTATTGGAGGTTAAAGTCATCATGTAATAATAAACGCATATGATTGGCTTTTAGAAAAAGCCAGGTGGTGTAATGCAAGTAATGAACTCACATCACAGTTTTATGTCTGCGTATCTTCATACAATGACATTATAATTTCAACCAACACACTACAATTGATTGCACGATAATTAAACAATTAACCCAGTCGATGATCTCGTCCTGATGACTAGAGTTCTTCAGTTTTAGTCATTAACCTTAGGCCTACACAGATGTCAGAAAGTGAGAAAAAGAGAAGTGAAACTAGTATCAGTTGAATATTAACTAACAAATGTTCTCATCTGCTGTTAGCTGATAAACACACACACACACACACACACACACACACACACACACACACAGAGAGACCAAATGGGGCAATAAATATATATTATATATAACAATAACATATTTGAATTAAAATCAATGAAAATATTAAAAATAAAATATATATAATATAAAGACTATTTCCATGACTATGTCACACATCATAACCCTCAGCTGCATCGTTTTCAAATGCTACAGTCATAAACTACGGGGTAACGTCACACTTTTTGCTCACCCCAGAAAACAGTTGCTTGTTGAACTATGACATTATAAACATATACTGCTTCTGAAGAGGACTTGAAACTGAGAAGCAGTTTGAAAAGCAGGTCACCTGAAAGGCCAAACGGTCTTTTTCATTGGGTTTGAGGAAGATAACAAGCAAAGAAATAAAAAAAACTATATGCTTATGCTTCTTCAAGCAATCCCACCCTGTCATTTAAACTATAATAGCACAATAAAACCTACCATAAAAATCACCCTCAATGGCAAAACTTATAAGAGCTTGGGCTGCAAAACTCACAAGAATGGAAGTAGACGGGTTTATAGAGAGATTGTGACCTTCAGCAGGGCACATCACCGTGGGGGATCGTGAATGAAGTTCTAGTATTTTTAAAGTCACTTAGGATAAAAAGCATGTGCTAAAGGTTAGTTAGAACAAGCACGATCTGGACTATTTAAAGACCAAACGATGCTATAGCAGCCTTAAGCTCAGGTCACATCATTTTTGACATAAAGAAAATACATACATACATAAGCAAGCGGTCATAATGGCAGTCTGCTGTTTATTGACACTTGATAAAATGACTTCTAAAGTATACAAATACATCTTCCACTTCCTTTCTTTAAAACGCATTCAGGTCATATTAATAGCTTTTCAGACATACTTTTTTTTATATTAAGACAAAACCGGAAAAAAAAGAATGCAGCGAAACTGCCAAAATGGCACTGAACAGGTTCAGGCTTAATATTCATATTGTCTAGTTTTTATTTACAGGATGATTCGTCAGTCAAGGCGGAGAGATCATACTCAAGGCCTCAACTACAATCCAGACCATATGTCTATTAAACGCTGATATATTGTGAATAATACACACATCTCCAAACAATGCACAATTAAAGCGTGCAACACTACACCTCTTTTTCTGCAAGTCTTCTGAAGCTTAAAGCCTAGCTATTTAATTCAAACACATCCTCAACCAATTCTGAAAAACACATAAATGCATCAATACCAGCTAAAATATATATATTTTTTAAATCAAACATCTTAAACTGGTTTACTAGTTTCAACTGGTCTCTCAGTCTGGCCAACCTGGTTATCAGCTGATTTAGCTGGGTGGCTAGCTGGTCTAACCAGCTGAAAAATAGCCAAAGCCCCTTTAAAACCAGTCAACACATTAGTTTAACCAGGCTGGGAGACCAAGTAAGACTAGTAAACCGTTTTAGGCTGGTTTAAGCTATTTTTAGCAATAATTCTATTGTATAAAACACATTGTGACTTTTAATTTTATGCATATATATGAACACTGAAAAAAGTATAATCGATCCATTTGTGTTCAACTCCAGAGGTCCCAACAGGGGAAAAAAAACTGGCACCAACTCAAGAACAATCCTTATTTCAAGAGGTCCATATTTAACAGTAATGCAATCACTTTAATGAGGTCAAGCAGACGGTGTTGTGCTGTGTTGTGTTCAGTCTATTACTAAACATTTCCCTGTTCATTTGATATATAAATTGAATATTTCATACGGCAGAGGAGACACAATAGGCCACTGGATCTGCCAGGTTATTTAGCTCTTGACCAAACCAGGAACAACATAATCTGGCATAAGGCTAAATCTCCTAATCCTTCAATCTAACAATCATTTTAAAAGAAAGTTGTTTATAAAAGCATTGGTGGAAAAGAGTAACTCACCCGTTTTTCCACCAGGGTGGATGGTGACAATTCATCTTAAACATGTCAAAACCAGATTCCCAAAGCCATACGAAGGAGTTGTGTGGGGGGGGGGGGGAAGAGGACATACAGCAAACGCATGTCCAACTATACAGTCATCATCTTTGGAATGAGATCTGGATCATTACTGCCGCAGAAAATCCGTCTTCATAAACCCGATGATCATATGATAATCCGTGCGTAAATATCACCGACGGCCGCACCGCGCGCGTATCCACTGCGCTTTCACTTTGAATTAAACTCAACTCGAGACGCTTGGCAAAAGTAGCGACCAAACGTTTGTTTTACGATGAAGTCCAGCTCACTACAGTCCTTGAAAAGATCTGGTTGGACCACTAAAGGGTTAATAGGTTTTGCGTCTTCATTGGTTGGAAAGAGACACCGATCACCTGTGGACAGCAGCGGGGTTGGTCGAGCGCTCAAAGAGGGCAGGAAGAGAGGCTGCTTCATACAGGGACACTTTAAACAGACAGAGAGAAACATTTCCTTTGAGAAACAGACTGACATCATTTATAAGCTAATGATATATGATACTAAATAATTTCTTTCTTTCTTTCTTTCTTGAATGTGAAGTTCAACATATACATTAAAATCAAAAGTTGTATTTGTTAACATTAGTTATGCCCTTTGAACTAACATGAACATGAACATTTTTATTAACTAACATTAACAAAGGTTGTAAATGCTGTATATATATATATATATATATATATATATATATATATATATATATATATTGTTCATTGCTAGCTCATGTTGTAAAGCGTTACCAAAATATTTACTCTACGTACCCCCTGAAATGTAAAATTAATATTTCAGAAATTTAACAACAAATTTGCCAAAGTTCATGGTTCTCTGGTTCTGTCAGAGCACTATCGTCAAAGATGATTGACAATTAGCATACAGTTTGGATTGGCGGTATGGTTCTGTTCTGGGCAAGATTCGAATGCATTATTTATATATGAAGTCTAGTATGTTGTCACTCCTTGTTGTGATGCAGAATAGCATAGGTCACGTGATTGTAAACATTACTCTCCCTACTCCCTCTAGTGGTCAATGCGCATAATTTCTATTTATAAGATTCATCTGGATGTACATTTTAAAGGGGTCATATGATGCGATTAAAATTTTTCCTTTCTCTTTGAAGTGTTACAAGCTCTTGGTGCATAAAGAAGATCAGTAAAGTTGCAAAGACTAAAGTCGCAAATCCAAAGAGATATTCTTTATAAAAGTTAAGAGTCAACCACGCCTACCTAAAACGGCTTGTTCTAACACACCCCCACATGTCTACGTCACTATGTGGGAAGATTTGCATAACGCCGCCCAAATGTTCACGCAAAGAAAGAAGGCGTAATTTTTATTCTCGCTGTAGTATTGTTGTTGCCGCCGCCATGTTGTGAAGGCTCTGTGTGTATCGTTGTGAAAGCGAAACTACTTTGTTTGGCCTTCCAAAAGAGGACGATATCCGCTTCGTCATGCCTGGAGCTGATCCGTGCTGATCACTGAGGAAATACATCAACTTCGCGCTGTGGATCGCCGGATCGGCTTTCACCGTGGACGAAGCAGAGTCCAGCCCGTGGTCGTCACATGTGTTTGCCCCAAGCCCGCCGGCCGCTCCTCACTCTAGCCCGCCGTGTGTGATGCTGTGTGTAAAAAGACAGTATAAGTCATTATAATCCGTAATTATGTCCCCACTGGATGCAACAAATGCCTCGTTTATAATGGGTTTTAATGTTTTTGTCTCGTCGCTCCGGCTGGGACACGGCATCACAGTATGGGAATGGGTGTAACATTTCCGTCACACGCTTGAGGTATTCGACCAATCACAACGCACTGGATAGCTGGCCAATCACAGCACACCTCGCTTTTCAGACCGATGAGCTTTGTAAAAATCGACGCGTTTCAGAAAGGCGGGGCATAAAGGAGAAACAATAATGTACAGTATGTGGAAAATAATGTGTTTTTTTAACCTTAAACCACATAAACAC